GCTGATTCTCCTGGGAGCCTGACCTCTAAAAGAGCTCTGGTTTTTCCTGTCTGTGTGATCTCTGTCTCCTGCATGGATTCCCACCAGGACACCTCAGAAGCCCTCATGAGACCAGGGCCGTGCTATCTGTACTTCCACCCTCCAACACTACGAGTTCCATAAACATCTCTTTTTGTTTTTAAAGTTTCTTAGCCTTAGGTACTATGCTATAGAATGGAAAAACTTACTTTAAAACATTTTAAGCTTTACAACCAACCAGGTAACATGGCTCAGGAAATATAATACCTTAATTTCATATAATCAGGACAGTCTGAGAGGCCGAATGACTTCACTTCAGTAGGGCTAGTGAGCCAGTGCAAAGGTTTACGTGTTGTGTCTCGAAGAACAGAGCCCTTTTCCTAACTCTATAATCTTCCGGGAGGTTTGGCAGGGGGTAGCAGCTGGTAGACTGCTGACACAGGGACTGAAAAGGTGAGAAAGATGTGCTTTCCTACACATCTACATCCATTCCCCTGTGTTCTGAGAACCTAGCCTCATGATGCCAGCCATGTTCTCATGGAGATCACTTACCAATGGATGATTGTCCCAGAAACTCAATCATTACCTGCAGATTAGTTTGGTCTCCCCCTTTTTTAAAATCTGTGTTCTGTCTTTTTCCTGAGTCGCAGTTTGACAGACAGGCTTTTTTACTTTAACAGTTCTCTAATCAGGCTGTCTTTAATTTAGCCACCTCTTCTCTTTTCATTGTCTCCTTCTGTTCCACCAGCTCCGCCTCTTCCCACTGTGTGCAATCTGAGTTTGGCCAATGTCAAATCATGATTTATTCTCAGCTTGAGAAAGAAATTATACAAGATATCAAACTCAGCCAACACAGAACCTTTCCTACTGCTGTGATTTGATACATCAAGTTTGTATTTATTCTGCCAGCACTGTGTCTTTGTCCTGAGAAATCTTGGGGAGAGGAATTCTTGGGTGAATGAGGAAGCTACTTTTCCTGGAGAAGTGTACTGATATTAATAAGAAAACAATAAAAGAAAAGGTGCTTGAAATTTTTGCAGAAAGATCAGTGGAAGACCAATACCAGGCTACAAACTAGCAGTCCTTGTAGTGTCCAAGACAACAGCCTGCTGTTTTCCCAGGTGGCTCTGAACAAGACACAGAAATGCAATGGGCCATTTGTCACTGCCCTGTGTGCAACATATGCATGCCAATTGGTGTATCCAGTCTGCAGGTCCACTCCTGTCTTCCCCATCCCTACATCTCAGCTTCTGGCCTTCCTTCTTACCAAGATCAGGATATAATGAGCTCCTTCCCCTCCTCTTCTCCTTGAGAGATGACGATCCATCCTGAGAAGCTGGACCAACTCAGCCATCCTTACACTGATCAAGCATACCCAAGCTCTGGGTAATCCCTACCACAGTATTCTTTTAAGATGGTTGGGACTCAGTGCTGGCACACCACTCTTTGTATGTCAAAGGTATTCTAGTGCTGGTGGTTCACGCCTGTAATCCTAGCTACTCAGGAAGCTGAGATCTGAGGATCAGGGTTCAAAACCTGCCCTGGGAAGAAAGGCCATGAGACTCTTATAAACCACTAGAAATCTGGAAGTGGTGCTGTAGCTCAAGTGGTAGAGAGCTGGCCTTGAGCTGAGGAGTACAGGGACAGCGCCCAAGCCCAGAGTTCAAGCCCCACAACCGACCAAAATAATAATAATAATAACAATAATAATAATAATATATTCTAGTGTGTGGTGTATAGAAGATATCTGGTGTGTTCTTCAGGCAGGATTGGACTGGAAGGAATCATCATTCAGCTTGGTCCTAGGTTGAGTGAGGGCTTAGAGGCTCTTGGGTACAAGCTTCTGCAGAGATGGCACAAGAGGAGCTAGATTGCTTGGAGGAGAAAGGGTGAGTTTCTTTTGTCCCTTTGATGTATTTTTTTTTTATTTTTTGGCAGTACTAGGGTTTGGACTCAGGGCCTTGTTCTTGCTAGGCAAACACTATCACTGAGCCACTCGTCCAGGACCTTGTGTCCCTTTTTGTGTAACTCAGTGCTCAGTACCCTCTGCAAAGGGAATGAGAGATCAGGTAGCTGATGATACCCCTTTGCTTGTGAAATGAAGTGCATCATCTAGAAGGGAAATTACAGATTTGAAATGAGCCTAAAGGCGGCTCTGCTTTTAGAACATTTTAAGGGCATTTTATTGTGGATTTAGATCACACATTTAGACTTTCTTTGATGAGGACCTAATGTAAGTGAGCAAATGTGCCCAAGCGTTGTTGCCTACCGCCTGAGAGCCTGGTTCCATTGACACACCGCACCCCTCCCAGTTCACACCCCTTCCCCCTCCCAGCCCCCTGCGGTTCCATCTAGCATAGGGAGGAAGCTTCTGGCCCTCTGAGCTGAGTTATACAAAACCCGAAAATAGATTCTCAGAGTGCATCCAGACATAATGATTCCATGAGGCAAGAAGGTCACTGTGTCTGCTTTTCCTGCCAACACACCCCTGGCTCTTTATCTATGACTGCCTTGTGAAGCAAGAGAGCTGTGCCAGGAAGCTGCACTTTGTGGCTGGGAGGCATTATGAGAATTTAAAATCATGTCAATGGGGTTTTGTCAGCATAGGCTAGAGGAGGGACTTACACAGTTTTAGAAGAGGATCATCTCTTAATATCCTTTTGTTTCCTGGCCTGAGAGCTACTTTCACTCTGTTTAAAAGAGAAAAAAAAAGGACTCTGATCCTAGCTACACACTCTACCCTGCCGATTCTGCCCAAAAGACATTTTTAATCGACCCCAAATGTATACATACATATATATAGTGATTGTCTCAGTGAGTTTTATTGTTTTCTTTCTATGATGTTCATTTCTCGCATTTGTAAGGTACAATAAAGCAACAGATCCTATTTAAAAAACAAAACTGTACCCTGTGTACCAGCCACCTCTGTGTCTGTGTTTCTTTGAATGTTCAGTACTGGCGTAGTAAAATAGCATGGGTGGAACTGCCCCTGCCTGTGCGGCATGTCTCATTATGGAGCAGAGCCCCGTATGCACAGGTCTCTTCCCACTGTGGGTTCCAGAGGGCTACTGGGTAGAGACATTTGCCCAACCTGTGTGGACTTGTGGCCACGAAGCATGTGGGAAAGAGAGGCTTCTGGATGCAGGCCAGCTAGATATCTTTACAGCAAGGAGACATCTCAGCAGCAAGGAGGGGATGATGATTACGTTCACTTGTCTCAGGACACCATGCCAGCTCAGCATGTGCTTGACAGGAAGGAAACTGTATACTCAGGTTCACCTGGAAACACTGACTTGAAAAGTACTGAACTGAGAATGCCCGTGTGATGTACATCATGACAGAAGTTGTCCTGTTTTCCAGACTATTATAGATCAAGTCAAGTGTAATACATAGAGACAAATATGTGGGAGGAAACAAATGAGAAGTCCTAAATATCGTCTTGGAGTGGGGAGTAAGGGAAGACAAGGTTGTCTTAATTTACTTTGACTGGGGCATTGACTACCCATACTACTAGTCACATCAATTCAAGCCGTTAACCTATCAGCCAATCCTGACACTGCCAACCTTGCCCAGGCCCTGTGGAGCTTGAGGTGAGAAGACTGGTAGAAAGAGCCTGAGGGCTCTATTGTCTCACCTTTGGACACAGGTTTCTTCAAAAGTTTGTATTCCTTATGCATCACACACTGACCCACCTACTGTTGGATACAGTGGGGTTCCTTTCTTTAGTGGGTCTTAAGGCTTTGCGTTTGAGGTCACTAGCTACCTATGTACCACACAGATCAAGAACAGAGTTCCGGGGCTGGGAAGGTGGCTCAGTGGTAGAGCGCTTGCCTTGCATGCCTGAGGCCCTGGGTTAGATTCCTCAACTCCACATAAGCAAAAAAAGAAAAAAGCCAGAAGTGGCGCTGTGGCTCAAGTGGTAGAGCACTAGCCTTGAGCTGAAAAGCTGAGGGACAGCGCCCGGGCCCAGAGTTCAGGCCCCACGACGGGACCCCCCCCCCCAAAAAAAAAAGAACAGAGTTCCTTCAAGTTTATATGATAGAGTCTATCAGGGATGTTAAGGCCATGATCAGTGAGAATAGATTGTTGGTAATTGGTAATAGAGATCTCATTTGTCACTATCTAACATTCTCTTTCATGTTTCCTTATGATGTGAGTACTCTTGGATTTTAGGTAGTATACAAACCAGTATAAGATTCGATGCCACTGTATTTGTTTTAATGTCCATTTGAAGAAAAAAAAATAGGATTGGGTATGTGGTTAGGTGGTAGAGCACTTGCCTAACAAGTGCAAAGCCCTGAGTTCAAACCTCAGTAACTAATCATTTCATGAGTGACTGTTTAAGACAGGGGTTAACTTTTTAGAGGAAGTTTGTTTTCAAGAGGTGTTCAGTAGTAATTGTACTCTGGGACACAGGGTAAAATTCAGAAAGGTGGGACAATAATTGATTGATATGTGTTTGGCAGGTTTTCCCTAGAATATGCCTCTTGGCCAAGTCCTTGCTTTCTCTCTCCCTGTTTTTAATCCCAGTATGTCAGAATGAAGCTGCATGGAGAATAAATTGCTTACAGGAAAAAAATAGTTGTAAACTGTTTTAATAAGAATTCTAGTAACTTTCACAGAGTGTCAACAAAGACTTATTGCTTCTCTGGTGCAGCAAGAACTACTGTCTTCTCTTTAGATTTAGGCCTCAGAGCCAGCCTTCCATCCTTCATAGAAAGCAGGGCTCCTGAATGCTTACAAACAGTCATACCTGCTGCTGTCTGTTCAGCATCACATCCTCTGTTTCTTGTGGGGTGCAGGTACGTGTGGAGGGCAGGCATGTGCATACATGCTTGTCGTAATGATAACAAGATAATGTGATACATCTGAGCTACCCCAATATTTCTATTAAATAATAATACCACGATGCTAGTGGCCTATTATTCTCCTCCTTCTATTAACCACCCTACCCAAGTAAACTATTTTCTGATCTCTCTCAGATGGAAATCCTCTATGAATGTGGAAGCCATTAGCAGAGTAATTGCTGTCGGTTGCCATGACAACCAGCCGCTGCAGTCACCTGCCTGAGGTCCTGCCAGATTGCACCAGCTCAGCTGCGCCTGTGGTGAAGACCGTGGAGGATTGTGGCAGCCTCGTGAATGGGCAGCCACAGTATGTCATGCAAGTTTCAGCCAAGGACGGGCAGTTGCTGTCAACAGTAGTGCGGACTCTTGCCACCCAGAGGTAGTACCACATTTGAAATAAATGAATCTATAATTGATCCGGAGAACTCTTTGTCAGATGGAAAATGCCAAAGGGAATTCAATTAATGCTCAGGTCTTTGTGTCAGATGAGAGGGGACTCTGGGGGAAGAAAGGGTACATAGGTCCTGTCGTCACCATTTCTATAGCAATAGGGCATAAAGCTAAATTCACACTGTTGAGTATTTTGCTTGAAGTCACCCTTGTAGAGAGCCATTTGGAGAAGGATCTCTCAAGTGGGGTTACTTGCTTTACATTTGTTATTGTGACGTTACTATGGTAATAACACTTGTCTCCAGTAGCTAACAGAAGTAGCCCTTTGTTAGACTAGAATGAGAAGGCACCTGCTTTCAGATAACGAAGTGAAAGTGGTTGGATTTGTGGCAGAACTTTTGAAATGGCATTCTAGTGTGCATGTTGCTCAGCATCACCCACTGGATGTACGGGGGGAGCCACTTCCCCTAGACAGGTTTCCTTTCAAAGAAGGCAGCATCTGTGGTCCCCTCCTCCACCTTCTGTGACTACCCCCCATCTGTAGCTCTTCACACATACTCCAACCTGGGAGGTGATCATCAAAACTTCCACTTTTTCTCCTATGTGATGAACAAAACAGATGAATGAAAACTCTGCATGGCTTAGAGACCACTTGGTTCCTGGGAGTCATCATAATCTTATGCCTCTGTGGCCCAGTAGTAGCCTGGGAGCTGTAGGCTGCCAAGCTAATAGTTGTTCCTTGGCTTCTCCAGCTTTCTTTCAGGAGTAGTAAACGGGACTCTTGACCTATGAATTTAACATTTGTATCACTACCAGACTTGCCTCTAAGTGTCAGTGCTGAAACTTCTGGTCCTGAAAAGAGGACACTTTGACCACTTACCTAAGTGTGAGTGGTCAGTCAGTTGCTCTTGTACAGACATAGGCCCGCAGGTTCCCCACAGGTGCCCGTAGCAAGCCTACTGGCAACATCAGATGTCTAGATGGCCTTCAGACATGGAATCCTAGCCAGACACACTGTAAATAATGTCTACATGCCTGCTATTTAATATCCATGTGGATTCCACAAAAGAAAAAGAGAAAATATGTAAAATATGTATTTCTCGCTTCTAGAGCACTTCTCACAGTTAGGACTTGGAACACAGTGAGGTGGTAAGCATCACTATGAGATTGGATGACTTGTGTGCACCGAGTACCCTAGCAGCCATCAGTCACCTTGGGTGATCAGGAAGGCCAGGCTGGGTTGAACTGACCAAGACCTGTGATTCAATGTCTGTCTCTGTCTGTCTGTCTATTGGGCATTTTTTACTGGCTGTCTTACTACTTAGTAATGTGCAACACAATGTTGCAGATTTTCTCATATGTATGTTTGGCTCAAAGCAAATGAAGAAGGCCCAGAGGAAAAAAGTCAACTCTGTCACATTTCTTTCCCTGCCTTGAGCATGAGTGGGTCTTTGGGGACAAGTGGGAGGGAAATCCTTTATATTAATTCCATTCTAACCTTCACTTGATCTGAGGAACATTCTAGCTGGCATCTGGGAAACAGCAGTGTTTCCATGTGGATCAGAGATAGTGTTAAAGAAAATGATGGGTCAAGAACCTAAGTCATTGTAATCTTTCAGGGATATGAGGAGAAAAGAGAGCAGATGTATGAGGAAGCTGATCTTAGGATGGTCGTGATCGTACTTTAACGTTCTGCTGGGCACCAGTGGCTCATGTCTATATTCCTAGCTACTCAGGAGGCTGAGATCTGAGGATCATAGTTCAAAGCCAGCCCTAGCAGGAAAAAGTATGAGACTTATGTCCAATAAACTGTCAGTAAAGCCAGAAGTGGAGCTGTGACTCAAGGGGTAGAGCGCTAGTCTTGAGCAAAAGAAGCTCAAGGAAAGTGTATAGGCCCTGAGTTCATACCTGAGGACCAGCACGTGTGCGCGCGCACACACGCACACACACACTCACACACACACGCACTCTAATGTTCAGCAAAGGATAATACAAGCAACATAGAAAGATGTCAGTCAAGGGCTGGGAAGGTGGCTCAGTGGTAGAGTGCTTGCCTTGCATGCATGAGGCCCTGGGTTCAATTCCTCAGCACCACATAAGAAAAAAGAAAAAAGCTGGAAGTGGCGCTGTGGCTCAAGTGGTAGAGCGCTAGCCTTGAGCTGAAGAGCTGAGGGACAGCGCCCAGGCCCAGAGTTCAGGCCCCACGACCGGACCCAAAAAAAAAAGAAAGAAAGATGTCAGTCAAGAGGAGGATAGTCTTCTAAAGGACCCAGTAGTCATTGAGAGGTAGAGCTTCTATGTCAGTTGGATCCTTCCATGGACCATGGACCTTGTGTGGTGAGGGTCCTGTTATTTGACCTTCCCTGATCTGAGTCTTTCCACAAGTGACACTAGCTAACATTAACAAGGCATTTGCTATGTGCAGATCCCTATTCTAAACTTCTGATCTGAACTATCTTTACTCATCCTCACAGTCACAATCGGGAAGGCATCATTCTTTGTACTCATTTTAGAGATTAAGAGACTGAAGGTGTGGGGAGGTGAAGTTACTTACCCAAAGTTAGCCAGAAGATAAGTCTCAGAGCTGGGATGTGAGTCAGGCAGTGGGTGGAAGAGCCTGCACTGGAAACAGTTAGTTATACTATTTGCCTTTATGAAATGTACAGGAATTGGTTTTTTTTTTCAAAATCAGAACCCTAAATGAAGTAAGACTAGAGTGGTACATATTCACTTTTCACTTTCAGTATAGTCACTTTAGCATCCCAGAAAGCACTTCCAAAGGCTCAAAGGTCCCAGCTTTGTGCCTGACTCAGTTTGCAGTTCTGTGTGGTGGCTCCAGGGTTGGTTGCTAGGTTCAATTTCTTGCTCTTATTCTCCACAGTATTGAAAGGAGAAATGAAAAGAACCTTTCGGTATACAAGTGCCCTAGCCTTGTTCAAGAGATACATTTTGTCTAGAAACTACAATTGGTGTCCTTTCAAAAGAAGTTGTGTCCTTTTTTTTTTCTTTTGCTAGTCCTAGGGCTTGAACTCAGGGCCTGGGTGCTGTCCCTGAGCCTCTTTGCACTCAAGGCTAGCACTTTACTACTTGAGCCACAGCTCCAGTTTGGCTTTTTTGTGGTTCATTGGAGATAAGAGACACACAGATTTTCCTGCCTGGATTGTCTTTGAACTGTGATCTTCAGATCTCAGCCTCCTGAGTAGCTAGGATTACAGGCATGGGCCACTGATGCCCAGGTAGAACTTCTATTCTTAATAATAAGGAGCTACTTCTATTTTTTGTTGGCACTTTACCTAAGCCTTATTTATGTTCAAGGTGAAAAATCAATGCATTGCAAGCCAGGCACTGGTGACTCATGCCTATAATCCTAGCTACTCAGGAGGTTGACATCTGAAGATCACGGTTCAAGACAGTTCAGGCAGGAACATCTATGAGACTCCTATCTCTAGTTAACCACAAAAAAAGCCGAAGTGGAGCTGTGGCTCAAGTGGTAGAGTACTAGCCTTGAGCATAACAGCCCAGCAACAGAGCTCTGGACCAGAGTTCAGGTCACAGGACCAGTACAAAAAATTGCTTATTTTCATTTATCTTTTGGCCCTGAGCCACATCTAGCTAGTCCTTATTTCTTTAGATAGGTAAAGTAGATGGCCCAAGTGCCCTGATTTATCAAGGGTCACCAGCCTAGTGGCCAAAGTCCAGTGTTAGCATCTAAAGGGCCTTAAGTTAAAGCGAATATCTATTCTGAAAAGCTATCCTTGGGGAGGGCCCAAAGGACACAGAGGCCTTCCACATGGTAGTGGGTCACAGCCCAGTGACAAGCAGATGCCCCTCCTTCTCTTGCAGCCCCTTCAATGACCGGCCAATGTGCAGGATCTGCCATGAGGGCAGCAGCCAAGAGGACTTGCTTTCTCCATGTGAATGTACTGGGACCTTGGGGACAATTCATCGGAGCTGCCTGGAGCATTGGTTGTCATCCTCAAACACCAGCTACTGTGAACTCTGCCACTTCAGGTTTGCAGTCGAGCGCAAACCCAGGCCGTTAGTGGAGGTCAGTAAGTGGGTCATGTCCTGCAAACTTAGCTGTAATGAGCAAATGATGTCTGCTTTTATGTCTGGGTTACACATACCCTGCAACCCTGCACAATGTCACTGAGGCACGGTAATGACTTGATAGAGTGTGCATGAGTGTATGTAAAACAGACAGAGAGAGAGAGAGAGAGAGATCACCAAGCAACAGAGGGTATCTCACCTCCATAAAGGGGGAGACAAGAAAATAAAAGAAACAAGCTGAAGGTAAAAAGGAAATTTGGAGGTATGGTCTCTCTGCACACCATTTGTCCAACTTGAATAGATTGCATTTCCTAAAAGGTTTCCAGGAGAAAATATAGCTGCATAGTACAATGGAGTTTTGACCTAGACTTCTTGGGTTCTGTAACCATGGGTAAGTGACCTACCTTTTAAATTACTTGATATAAAACAATAATTCAGGGCACATGAAGAAGTGTTCGAATAAAAACTACCTTTCCTGGGAAATTATTCACAACCTTTTTCCAGCTAACTCTAAATTCAAATTCCTTTTTCAAGAATGTGTGTGTGTGTGTATGTGTGTGTGTGTGTGTGTGTGTGTGTTTCCACTCCTGGGACTTGAACTAAGGGCCTGGGTGATATCCCTGAGCTTTTTTGCTCATGGCTAGTACTATATTGCTTGAGCCACAGCTCCACTTCTGGTTTTTGGGTGATTAATTGGAGAGAAGAGGCTTACGGAGTTTCCTGCCGAGGCTGGCTTCAAAGCATGGTCCTCAGATCTCAGCCTCCTAAGTAGCTAGGATTAAAGGTGTGAGCTACTGTTTTCATTATTTTTCTTTATTTTATTTTTTTGTAGATTATAGGTCTTGAACTCAGGGCCTAGGCACTGTCCCTGAGCTTTTTCTCTCAAGGATAGCACTCTACCACTTTGAGCCATGGTGTCACTTATGGTTTTCTGGTGGTTAATTGGAGATAAGGATCTCATGGACTTTCCTGCCCAGGCTGGCTTTGAACTTCGATCCTTAGATCTCAACCTCCTGAGTAGTTAGGAGCTAGGATTACAAGCATGAGCCACTGGTACCCGGATGGAATTTCTTTTCTTAAAAGGCAGTCTGTCAGTAACCCCTTTGTATAACACCTTAATAATAATAAAATCATATATTTTTTGAAAAGGCCATCTGTCTACCCAGTCATTAAAATCATAGGGCATACACACACACACACACACACACACACACACACACACACACACACACACACACACACACACACACACACACACACGGCAGGACATTTTTTGTGTTTCCAGAGACACAGAATTCATATTAATACTGTGGTATTAATCAAAAGAATTGGGAAGTGGGGAAATATCAGACTCTTCTGTTTCTTCTGTCAAATTCTACTAGTCAATTAAAAACTGGATATTTATAAAAATAAACAAATACATATTTTTAACATATTGTGGGGTAGAGCTATTAGGAAGGGGCTAAGACATATGTAACTGTAACTCCTCTGTATGTCACTGCGACAATAAAATTAATTTTTTTAAAAAGGCAAAAAAAAGAAAAAGAAAAAGAAAAGGACTAAGATATTGGACCTGCAATCTAGACTCGTAAATTATATCCATATTCTGGCAGCTACCCCAGCGACACCTACAGTTAGAACTGGAACTAGAAATCAAAAAACCTACTTGGAGACCAATTAAATGTGTGGTGCCAAGGCACTGACAGTTCTGGAGCACTCTGTATGCACATTCTCTTGGTTTTGACCTTGAAGATTTGATCAGGACTCCAAATAGGAGCCAAATGGCACAAAATTTATTTGACCTATCCCAACAGACTCTATACTTTTCTTAAGACTCTGCATCAAGTGATATTAATTTAGCCATCTTGCCACCAACATCTACTTTTAAAAATTCGTATTTGTAGAGTGCCTGTCAGGAGTGCCTGGCCCTGGGCCAGATTCCCTGAGATTTAACATTTCACAACGCCCCTGGAGAAGGGGAAATTTAATGAACTAACAAACGAGATAATTTCCCAAGCTCAATGGCAAAAGTTAAAAGGAGCCTACTTCTTTCCAGAAACATCTTGGAATCTCCCCAATTTGATATTGCAGCTTCCCTTAAGGGAGCTGGCTTCCCAGAGTGAGAAAATCCTGCCCTTGAATGGATTCTACCCAATAGTCTTCTTGACTGCCAGCTTCCAGAAAGAAAACTTTCATTTGGGTGTGGTAAAAATCCCTTGAATATATACATAATAGATAACAAAAAAAGAGAGGACTATTCATGTCTGTTCACATGCACGTATGTGTACACACATCTTGGTTTTTCTAATATCATGTATGTGTCAAATCACTGGGTAAACCTTTCTGATTGTAGAAAAGGTAACATGTACCTACACACAGAGGCTTCTTCAAAGGTGGCAATGTCCCGTCACAGCCTGTATCCAGAGTCTCAGGCCACTGTCATTAAACCAGGAAATAGGGCAAATGACCTTGAGAATGTGTGAGGTGCTCTACAAGATTTAGGGCCTCGCTGACACAGACTTCACCCAAACAGTCACCGCTGGTGAAATTTTCATTGCACAAATGGAATGTGACAATTTTCAGAGTTAATGATGATTGAACAAGTTGAAAGTGAAAGGCAACTCTTCTCAGGCAGAGAGAGGCTGGTTGTTTGATCATCCTGGGGCGAAATGAACTTGCTGTTTGACCACAAGCAATAAAAAGTTGTCTTTGGTTTCTCAGCTGGAGGACAAATGAGAACCAGGTGTGGGCAGATTTTTAAACAAATGACATTACTAATTGACTTTTCGCCTCTTAGCAAAGGACAGGCTTACTCATAGTGAGAAGTGCTCCTCAAGAATATTACCTTAGGATAAACAAGCATCTTTTTTTTTTTTTTTTTTTTTGGTCTATCAGCCAAATCTGCCTGTTTGGGTTAAGGATTAGGAGGAACTTTGCTACTTCATTTCTCATTTCTACTCTTTTAATTGCTTTAATCATTACTTTGTTTACTAGTTGGCTCAGCCTTCTCATTAAAGCAGAAAAATTCCATAGCGTTTAATTTTAAAATCGATGTGACAATAACAGCCTTTGCTGCTGGAGGAAGCAGTTTTAAAAGTCATTTGTAAATTTTATTCGTCAGCATCTAGATGCGAGCGTCCGTAGGAATTACTTCCACACCTCAGTCTGGCACTTTGCAGTAACCCCTGTCAGTCCTTCCTTGAACACCATTCTCCAATCCGCCTTCCTTCCCTGTTCCCAAAGCACTGCATGCTTTCCCTCCCTCTGCAGCCAGCAGTCCGGGGTTCTTTTCAACCATTCAAGAACCCAGGGCTGATCCATGCACACAAGCTGCTGTATGAAGTCTTTCTCCTCTCCCCGCCCCCACCACATGGGTGATTTTCTACTACCCATAGTGGCCAAAGCAATGCACCGATTTTTATTAGGACCTCCTAACTGGAAATCACCTCCCCACTTTGCCACTGACCATCTGTGTGGCCATCTGTGTCACTTGGCTCAGTTTTTCTAAACTTCACTTCAGAAGGAGGTGAGCAAGAAGCTTTGCTTTGCATGACATCTTTCCACCTCTATAAAGCTAAAAGTTCTTATGTTAAAAACACACACACACACACACACACAAAATAAACACACTCCAGCCAGATACCTGCTATAATTGCAGGTACTCACAAGGCTGAGATCAAACCCAGGCAGAAAAAGCCATGATATGCCATCTTCAAAATAACCAATAAAAGCAGGCTGGAGTTATAACTGAAGAGATATAACACCAGCCATGAACAAGCAAGCTGAAAATGCATGAGGTCCTGAGTTCAAACCCTAGTACCAGCAACACACACACACACACACACACACACACACACACACACACACACACACACACACACACAGAGGACTGGAGAAGTAGCTCAATAGTAGAGAAGTTTACCTAGCTTTTTTTAAAATTTCAGTCTCTAGCACTGCCAAAAAAAATCATTCTATACTTCAAATGGATTTATCATATTGTCTGTAACTTATATCTCAATACGTTAATTTTCTGGTGTGCATATTTGTATCTGTCTGCTTACCTATCTACCTCTTTATCTGTCTCACCTACCTATCAGCATGCCCAGACTTAGTCTTTTAGACTCATTGTCTGGATGCATTGCAGATTTTATACCTTAAATGTTTTCTTGCTGCAATGTGAACCAATAAAACCAGGGCCAGTTTCAACCCAAGAGAACTACATTGCAGTCATCTAGTTTAGTCAAATGTAGATGAATTTCTGCCATCGTGGAGCTGATGTAAATCTCATAAGGTCTGTGACCAATCATGCAAAGCTGGAAAGGGAAGCATTCCAATGAACAGAGCAAAAAGAACAGTTCTAACACATAAGCACTGCGTATCTCCATACCTAGCACTTCTCTTATGAAGCCTGCATGGAAAATGTGGCCAGAGGCAATTTGTAAGATGGATTACCCCCAAGAATAATGACCCACTAGCACATAGTAAATAGATATCCAGTAACCATAAAAGGATTCACTGAATGACTGGCCTGGGTGGTTTTATGGTCTCCTGCCTGCTCATTTTTAGTTCTCCTCATTTCTCTCTGTAAGGTGAACTTTTATACCATTCTTTTATAACAAAGGGTAAAAATACAGCAAGCTAATGAAAGGACTCGGATTGGTTGCCCAGAATGTGGATGTGGACTGCAGTCTCTGCCGTGATTGCCGTTCCAGTTGACCAATGTGCCACAGAAGTCCATCTCAGTCTGTGCAGAGAGCCTGACACATCAGTTTCTAGTGGCTAGACTTCCCTAGGACACATATATACCTGCCATGTCCACCCTTGCCCACAGAGCTCATGATGACGTTAGAGATCAGCTCAACAACATTGTGATTTAAATGAAACCGTCGGGAAGTAGTAGAAATGTGATGGGGAAAAATAAAACTTTCTAAGGCCTGCTCTTCTCTGATCAGAGACATGGTGATTGTCTCTGATTAGGTTTTCGTATTTCTATTCCCT